TACTCCTTTCCCAATTTTGAACCAATCAGTTGTTCCATATCTAGTTCTGTTGCTTCCTGTCCCACATCTAGATTTCTCAGGAGATAGATAAGGTGGTCAGGCACTCCCGTTTCTTTAAGAACTTGCTATAGTTTGCTGTGGTCCACACAGTCAAAGGCTTTTGCATAGTCAATGAAGCAGAAATAGATTTTTTTTCTCTGGAACTCTTTGGCTTTCTCCATAATCCAGCGCATGTTAGCAATTTGGTCTCTAGTTCATCTGCCCTTCAAAATGCAGCTTGTACTTCTGGGAGTTCTCGGTCCACATACTGCTGAAGCCTGCCTTGGAGGATTTTGAACATAACCTTTCTATTGTGTTAAATGAGTGCAATTGTACAGTAATCAGAGCATTTTTTGGCACTGCCCTTCTTTATGATTGAGATGTAGACTGATCTTTTCCAGTCCTCTGGCCACTGCTGAGTTTTCCAAACTTGCTGGCATACTGAGTGTGGCACCTTAACAAAGTCACCTTTTAAGATTTTAAATAATTCAACCGGAATGCCATCACCTCCACTGGCCTTGTTGTTAGCCATGCTTTCTAAGGCCCAATTGACTTCACACTCCGGGATGTCTGGCTCAAGGTTAGCAACCACACTATCTGGGTTGTCCAGGAAAACCTGCTCCAAATGCATAAATACAAAGGGCTATAGAGGGGAGAATGTAATCAACAGAAATCACCTCCTCATTGTTTGCCACAGTGGGGATTTTTGTTGGCTCAAAGTTCCCTACATTCTTCTAATTCTAGGAGAAAACCCTTCAATTGCATTAGAGTATTAGGGTACAATATCCCACAATATTAGTTGATGATCCATCATTCATTATCAACAAGAGCAATTAATAAAATACTCAGTTTTGACCATATATATGGTGAATGAGAAATTTACTGTGTAATACACATGTATTACTTCATGTGTGCCAGCATCACCATCTTATGGAAAGACACGATAGTAGAATGATATCATACAGAACATCCTGACTTGATGAGAGTAGCTTACAAATCTTTTGTTCCAAGAGAAGCTTATCATACCCTCATTGGTATTTAACACATTTTTCTTCAGCAAACCAAGGTAAATGATACAATTACAGTAACTACCGTATCAAATACAGAGACTGACTTATATTGTTTTCTTAAATTTCAGTTTTGAACAATACTTTAGATGGGGGGTGGGTAAACACGATCATGACAACCAAAGCTTTCTTACCATACAAATCTACATACCTTGAAATCCTGAGACTATTTGCACAACATCTTCATACACCATTAAAGTAGCTGAACGTTCAGGAAGAAGGCCAAGGCTCAGAGAAGAAAAAACTGTAGAAGGAAAGTTGGTTAAGTGTAATATATGCTAGTTTTGAAGCAATTTCCCCCAAAACAAGAATCCCGAATCTCTTAGTGTTTCATAATGTAGCCATCTGCTAAGGATAATGCACATATTTTTGATATTATAGCATCCAGCACATCACATATATTGATTTCACCAGCTTGTGAGTGAAGGAGGCTGTACCTTTATGTATACATTCAGAAAACCAATTTGAGATGGATAGAATGAAGTTACGTCGGCGTATGGGAAGATGAAGAATGATGAAGAAGGGGTACAATGTATGATTTTCCCTCAAAAAAGGTGGAAAATACAGCCTCATTGCCACCAGAACAAACAATATAGCAAACTTAAGTGTGTGTAGGGACCTAGGTCAGGGACAGGTATGAAGGCAATCTGCTGGTTAGGGACGTGCCACTCATTTTTTTAAAATACAAATACCAGAATTCTCTATTCAGGGAGTTCCATCTGACAGAGAGACACCTAAATGTGGCTCACCTGGGAGAGGGGCCTAAGATGGAACGCTTTGTGATCTAGCATAAGCCAAGCTTTGCCTAGTTTCCTTTTCAAAAAGGACGTTGCCTCGGTGCTTGCTGTTTAAAAATGAATCTCATATCACTACCACTGATAAATTTGGAGGTGAGTTAAATCTAACTGACAAGTGTTTCTTACTCTCAAAGAGATAACAACAGTGACAAGCAAAGACTATTCTCCACTCCAAAATTAGGTTGCTAAAATTATGAAGTTTGGGGGGGGATAGTGGTAGATTTGTATGTGAATAGACTGATGTAGGAACTCCATTTCAGGTCTGAAAGCAAATTCCTGGGCTGAAAAAGTACTCAGAGACGTCATAGCATTCTTTATGTCTGCCTTCCTGAATCATAACTTTGCATTTGGTTCCATTTCATGTTCCCTCCGAGCTCCAGTGAAACACGGCAGCCCTACACAGGCTTGACTCCCTATGCTGCAATCAACACATGAACAGGGAAGGCCTAGCCCTCCATCCCCTCTAGACACACACAGTGATGTGTATGAAGAAGAGCGATGCTCTTGTTTGTTTCTCCACACCAGCAAGAACTCTTGGGAAATCAGGAAGCATGTCCATATGGAAAGTCTCCATTCAATCCGAAACCTCTCCTCTTTGCCCATTTCACCTTTCAGGTGAGAAAAGAAATGGCAAAGGGGGAACAGAGCGAATTGCTAGGCAGTGCAGTAATGCCTGAGTAGGGCTAGACTCAATTCACTGTACTGCTACTTCCAAAAGAAAACAGTCGTATGCATAGTTAAGATTTAAAATAAACATTTTCTTAATCATTTTCCTATATTCAATGGCTAGTTTGAATAATTCTCAGTATCTGAAAAAGCAAGATCATAGAGATGGACATGAATAAAAAAGAATTGCAAAATTTGTCAAAAATTGCTAATTCATCAATTTGTATTCATCACAATGATGAATTCATCACAATGAATATGAATTGATGAATTTTTAGCAGTTTTTGATTTATTGATTCGGTGGGATATAATATGGCCCACCAAGCACCTAGAGACATCAGGATCCCAGAGATGCTTCTACTGATGCTCTTCTATAAGCCCTACAACTTTGGCAAAGTTTGGGTTTGGGACATCTCAGTTATATACCCATAAAGCCCCCCCGGAAAGTTTCCCCCCAGGGACCTAGAGACATCAAAATCACAGGGAAGCTTATCCTGACACTCTTCTACAATCCCTCCAAGTTTGATGAAGATTGGGTTTCAGACATCCACGTTATACACGCACAAATGCCCCCCCCCGGAAAATGCCCATTAGCAGCTGGCTTGGGGAAAATTACAGCACTTTTCAGATTGCTTACCAGGGTTTTCCTCAACAAAACTGCTAATCCCCAATTAAAATAGGTAAAGGTAAAGGTTCTTCCAGATTGCTTACCAGGATTTTCCTCAACAAAACTTCTAATTCCCAATTAAAATAGGTAAAGGTAAAGGTTCCCCTTGACAATTTTTGTCCAGTCGTGTTCGACTCTAGGGGGCAGTGCTCATCCCCGTTTCCAAGCCATAGAGCCAACGTTTTGTCCGAAGACAATCTTCCATGGTCACATGGCCAGTGCAACTTAGACACAGAACGCTGTTACCTTCCCACCGAGGTGGTCCCTATTTATCTACTTGCATTTGCATGCTTTTGAACCGCTAGGTTGGCGGGAGCTGGGACAAGCAACGGGCGCTCACTCCGTCGCGTGGATTCGATCTTACGACTGCTTGGTCTTCTGACCCTGCAGCACAGGCTTCTGCGGTTTAGCCCACAGTGCCACCACGTCCCGATTAAAATAGACACCCTGAATTCATTGGATTTCCACAAGTTTAAGCAACTGATTCAGTAGCCCTACTCTGCTTTGGACTAAGCATCTGGATTTAAGACCAGCTAAAAGTAATTAAAGTCTGTTAGAGTGGCAACATTTGAGGAGGAGTGTCCTTCCTGCACAGAAAAGAAAGCAAAAAAAAGTTCTATCCAAACCAAATATTAGAGGCAATGGAACACACATTTAACACACACAACACAGGTTTCTTAACTCAAAAGAGCCCTCCTAATTTGCAGAAATGTTTAACAGTTTTTTTCCACCCAATTTACTTCTACAGTAATGGAAATGTTTCAAAGTTGATAAAAATATATCTAGAAGAAAATAAAATAAATTCCCAGAAAATGGTTTATTGGATTTTTCTTTTGAAAATAAACTTAAAGCTTCTGCCACTGAATATGAATCTGTAAAAAGATTTCATATTTTTCAATATGTCCCCTCAGAACAAACTGCATTTTCCAGAAAAGTGGAAAATATAAACCAGTATTTTGAACAATCGCAGATAACTCATAAGTAACTGCTTAAACAAGATCTGTCCCTAGCACAGACCTAACACGTTTAAATTTCAAGAATGCTCTGCTAAGCACTAATGAATTCACACTGTAAATCAGAATCTTCTCAAATTACAGCTGTTCCTTCATAATAATTTCCTTCCCCATATACTGTATCAAACTAAAAGTGCTTATCAGGCATAATGCACTACAAGTAGAATGAATTATGGAAGAGGTGGTGCTAAAGGGTAGGATAATTCTCTCTCTCCCCACCTTCTATTTGCAAGAATGAAAACCAATGCAATTCTAAGAGCTTGAGAAACCAAGAACATGCACCAATATATTTTACCTATCAATCACTGGAGCAAAGCAACATTTCTAGCTTATGACTTACTGAGCTTGTCAGACTTTGCATTATTTGCAAGTGTGTAATAAAAAAAATCATCAACCCCCCTTTTCTTTACTCATATAAAGAAGTCTCATAAATATCACATCAGGTTGCACGGCTTTAAGACACACTTGTATGCCTAGCTAACTAAGATCAAGTCCTTCTGAATTCAATGGGACCAAATTATAAGCAGACAGGAATATCATCACCTCATTAGTCTCCGAGCAGCCTGTTCTGAAAATGAAATTAAGAACTCAAAAGAATCCCAAAAGAAAGAATCCTAACCAATATTACCAATATTACCTCAGTGATCAATAAAGAAATGTTTATGCCTCAGCAACATGCTTCCAAACGTTACCTTGATTCAAAAGTAGTTAGTTAACTGTAGTACACTCAGGTGAACCACATGAAATTCAGTGAGACTTACTGCTACAGTATATAAACATGGACAGAATTATGCCATGCAATAATGTATTATTTTATATCACATTCACATTATGAACTGGGTGAGCAACTGTGCCCTCTAGATCAGCCATTGTCAATGGGAGCCTTATGGCCTGCTTGGAGAGAGGGGCTGCCATATTTGAAGGTCACAGACTGAAAACAATTCTTCACACACCACCTCATGCAGTTTGCTGTATGACTTATACAATACTATATTTCTTTCATATTGTGTTTATTGCCATGGCCAAAATAAATAAATAATAATAATAAGGATGAGAATGGTTGCTCTCATAGATGATTTGGACCTACAATTTCCATTAGTCCTAGCCAGCCAGTCATGAGGGATTATCAAACCCCATCATAGACTTTATTTTGCTTGGATAACAACGTTGAAAAGCTTTGATATTTGGATACAAAGCACAATTACATAAAGATTAATAGAGCAAACAGTTTATAGTAGTGTTTTCCCAACTCTGTCTTCCTTCTCTTATAAAAGGGGAAAAAAGGCCTAGTTTAATGAGCCAACATTGGTATGAACAGCAAGATCTTGCTTCACATAAGCAGAAGAACCAATAAAAAGTCATTATTAATCTTACTTTCCCACTCTGTGAAGATCATCTATGGCTAACTATTCCCAGACAAGCTAGGACTGGAAGTCTGAAGCTCGCTTACAAATTGTGGGTTGTTGCTGAATCTGGAGTTTTCAGTTTGATTTTCAATTTTTTGCCTCTTATGTAAAGGGAAGACGAAAGTGGCAGGAAAGGAGCTTTGGGGGAGAAATACATTCCACCTCTGCATATGCAGAATTACTGTTAGATTTCCACAATACGATAAATGGATCACTATTGTAATCCGACCATTAGTGTATATATTTCCATAGTTTATCTATCCATTCTCCTGAGGTGGATATAACATGCAACCTCCTATATTTCGCACATCTGGAAGCACAAGAATCATGCTTATTATGCAAAGTAATACTTCTTAAGGATGTACTTTCTTCTGTGGCAAAGCAGTGTTCTTAAATTTTTAAAAATGTCATTTGGCAGTCCATTTGCCAAATGACAATTTCATTGTACCAAATGACAATTTGGCCCTGAAACTCAATTTGCTGTTGTGATCACAAGGACTTCCAAGTTACATGAGATGCATAAGGAATGGCTTGTTATTGCCATACACACCCAGAGAATTTTAATGGCCGAACAGGAATTTGAACCCAGGTCTCCTGAATGCTAGTCCTAAACTCTATTCGCTACACTGTGCCAACCTCTTGGCATAGTTGATACAATGAAATCTTATAAATGAAGGCATAAAATGTTACATTTTCTCTCACTTTTAATTCTACATTATTTTATGGCATGTCCACTTCAAACTACCAGTGTTACATGTCCAAGCTACCATCATGTAAGGGAAAGTCAAAATTCTTTGAGTTGGACACCTACTTAAATCTCACATCACCATATTTTTCTGTGTATAAAATGGCCCCATGTATAAGACCCCCACTTTTCTAATGCAAAATTTCTTTCTTTGCAAGAAAGTGGAGGGGAAGGCAGGGATCAAAGCACTTTTGATTCCTGCTTTCCCCTCCACTTTCTTGAGAGGAAAGTGCTTTCCCCCTCCCCTTTCTTTGAAAAAAGCTGCTTTCCCCCTCCACTTTTTGCGAGGGGGAAAGCAGCTTTTTGCAAAGAAAGTGGAGGGGGAAAGCAGGAATCACTTTCCTCTCAAAAATTGAGGGTTGTTTTATACACGGTAGCAAGGACGGGGGAGGGATTGATCCCTCCCCCTTCCTTATTACTGTGTATAAAACGACCCTCAATTTTTCCTCTAATTATTTTAGGAAAAAGCGTTGTTGTGTACATGGAAAAAAGACGCTAAATACAGCACAATTTAAGTGTAAGCAAACCTGGATATAGCCCACTACCTTCTAAAACTTCTGAAGAACTCCTGACAATACACCACAACTCACAATTTCACCTTCTCCACACAATGAAACAGAAACGGAGGCTGATACTTTGGGTACATCATAAGAAGACAAGACTCACTGGATAAGAGAGTTGGGTTTACTCCATAAAGGAAGCCACAACCTTGAGCTTGTAAGAGCTGAGCAGAGCTGTTAACTGCAGGACATTCTGGAGGTCACTCACTCCCAGGGCTGTCATAAGTCTGAGGTGACCTGACACCCCACGACAAGCAAACAAAACACAAGCAAAACTATGCAATATTCACAGGAAGGGCTTTCTGTCACCTATAGGTCAGTGGTCCCCAACGTTGGGCCTCCAGATGTTCTTGGACTTCAATTCCCAGAAATCCTGGCCAGCAGAGGTCATAGTGAAGGCTTCTGGGAGTTGTAGTCCAAGAACATCTGGAGGCCCAAGGTTGGGGACTACTGACCTATAGGTTATCGTGTTTGAGAGAGTAACAATTTAAGTCAGGAGTGAGAAAGGTCAGACTAAGTCAGGGGCTAGATTGCAACTTTTATGACTCTTCAACAGGGACTACTCTGAGTAGGGCTGATGGGAGTTGGTGGTTAACAAGATCTGGATCCCAACCCACCTCTCATGTTCAAGGGACAGGGACAGTTATAGTTTCTGTACCGTCCCACAAGTGATTGTGCAATCCAGGCGAAGAAAGCACTACTATCACAGCTCTTAGCACAGCTTGTGGTGTCCTGTTTTAACTTTCATTTATGTTTCACTCAAACACACTCCCTGTTGACAGTCTTGAACAAAAGCCAGTTGAGGAACAGGGAGGGGGGAAAAAACCCTCAAAGAAAGAATATTTGTAAACTGATGTGTCTAAAACCCTTCGTAACGTATGGTTTGGAGTGATTTATTAATAACTGTACAACAGCACGCATTTTCACCACAGATGGATCTTTCTGTTTTCTTTCATTCCTTCATTTGCTCATTTAGCAGAGGATGCAAGTACAAGCAAGTATACAAAAGAATGGGTCCTTCGCATTGAACATGGTGGCAAAATGCCTAATGAACTGAACAGAGAATGCTCAAACAAGCATTTCTTTCAGGCACATACACTCATTTCAAGTGCCTCCTCTCTTGAAAATACTTGGATATGCAACAAAGCCTAGTTCAGATTTCAATGACCCATCAAAACCTCTGCAAGCTTCATTCTTTCCTCAAAAATCAATATTAACAACAACATGTGTGCTTTGGGGACCTCTATATGAAAGAAATGTGGGATAAAAATGAAATAATTTGTCACTGCTATGCATTAATTACACCCTTGAGTCCCGCCCACTTCCTCCATCCACACTTTTATGAGAAAGAAGATAAAACAATAATGTCCAGTTCAGCATTTTCCAGAACTGGCCACGTAAGTGAATGGAACCATCAACAACAGTGTCTTCTGTTATGACCACTAAAGCAACAGTAAAAGCCAAGTGATCTGTACAGGATAGAACTGTGTGCCGTGTATGTTCTGTAGACATAGATAGATATTGGTTTGGGAACAACCACTCTGCTTAATGTACAAATATTGGTTTGAAACAGGCAAGTTCAGTCAATGTTAGTGTAGTCTTTTTTTAAAAAAACAAACAAATGAACAAAAAAGGAGTTATTTATTTATTATTTTCTTCACTTTTCTTTTCAAGATGGCATCATTTTTGCTTTAAAAGCTTATGCTGCCATTGAGCTACATACAGATATAGGCATATTTAAAGCAGAACCACTGAAATTTGAGTATAATAGGTTGGATCCACATGGAGCCATGCAATACAGTAGATTTCAACAGGTCCATTCTACACGCTTCTACATCTGGATCCAATCTATCATCTACAGACCTCTTTTGAGCTGACATCTAAATGTGAGGAATGACATCATGGTCTAGCCTTATGTTTTTTGGAGCCTTAAAAACTGAAAAATTCTTAAAATTAACATTTTTATTTAATCCTGCAAAATCACATGAGCAGGGAAGGCAAAGTGTCTTCATTATGGATAACAAAGGACAATAAAATTAACTATTTGTCTAGACTGTTTAATAATCCTGAGACTTGACTTTACTACTAAGAAATAAATGGGGCAACCAATCTTATAAAGGGGCGCAGCACATAAACACAGTGCAAAGATTAAAAGGACGTCAGTGTTAGGCATGAGAGGAAGTGCAAAGATGAGAATATTTGCTTTCAAACCCAGGTACCTGCATATTCCTACACAAAGCATATTTTTTCCATATTTGACTGGGGACTCCATATTATCAGGACTCTCCCTGAAATACTTTGAACAAGTTCAACTTTGAATCCCCCCTCTTCCTATCACCATATTCTGTATGAGAAGACTGGGGGTGTAGGTGGTGAGAGTGGGGATGCTAGGGATGAGGTTGGCAAACCAGGTCCCGTATCCACCCCGTTTCATGATCTCATGCAGCCTTCAACCTAATTTCAAAAATTCTTCTGCAAGAAATCAGTCCAAGAGTGACCTGTCCCTCTCCACACCCCAAGAGGGAAGGGAAAGAAAAAGGTAAGTAACAAAATAGGGTGGATGTGACCAGAACAGGGGCTGCCCTTCATTTATTTCTTTTCTCATTCAGAAACCACTTTTTTCTCAAAGGGGTGGTGGAATTATGAGCTGCCCCAAATAGGGTAAAAAGCCCTCAGAAGAGTTCTCAAAAAGAAGTAGGAAGAGGATTAACAGTACCAAGAGGGGGAGGATACGTTTTCCATCATTTTAAATTTCACAAGCCACGACTGCAGGTTAAAATGAGTTTACCAGTTGGCCTGAAAGTCCCACCCTCTGATCTGCAACACTTACATTGGTGAGGCGGCTTAGTTCTGGTTAATCAGGGGGCAAGGCAATGGTCTTCTGTACATGCTCAAAGCCTCCCCCCCTTCCCGCTCCCCAGTCACAGCTTTGTGCATTCCAAAGGGTCTAGACTGATAATTTTCTCATACCTGTATCATCTTATATAAACCATTCTTATATTATGCTCATGCTTCGACCATCAGCTCACAACCACAAAAACTGCAGTCTGTTAGTTTTCAAATCTCACATAGTTTTGCATTCCCCTCTCCCCTTCCATTAGAAGTGAAATCTTACCTCAGAACAAAAATAAAGATCTCTTACCAGGCAATCTTATAGGTTTCCATGGTGCAGAATTTGGCACGTAAGCATGCTTGGTCGCAGTAACGATCAGCTGACTGCCCAGCTTGTACTGAAACTTGATGAAGGCAGTGCCATCTGCTCCTGAGGTTCCAGAAGCAACAGGAATCTGGTTGGTAAAAATCTCAATAAAGGCTTCGGTGACTGGCTGATGTGTGCTGGCATCACTTACGTGGACCTTCAGGGTCACGTCTGCAACAAAAACACCAGGGAGGGGGTGAGTGTTAATTCTTAGGCAAGCTTTAGCATCCTATGTTGGGAGAACACAGTAATATCCTACATGTGAATAATGTTAACTAGTCTACACAGAGCTCATGTGGAAGAGGAAGAGCGCTCTCTCTCTCTCTCTCTCTCTCTCTCTCTCTCTCACACACACACACACACACACACACAACAACAACAACAACAACAACAACAACAACAACAACAACCTTTGAAGTGCAGAGCTGGCAGAGACCCTATGGATTATCGAGTCCAGCCCCTATCAATGAAGCACAGTGCAAAACTGAACTCTCAACTTTTGAGTCCGTACCAGAGACAAGCTATCCAGAAGTTCTTCCCCCAGCCATTACCATTCATGCTGATTTGGAAATTCCGGGAACTTGTAGCTGTAGGAATGGACATAAGGCATGAGTGTTCCTCAAATCAGTGAACTGACCATGGACTACAGATTCCAGAACTACAGATTGCTGTTGTTTGGAGAGTCTAGGTATTGTAGTCCAAAAAAATAAGTAACCTTTTCAAGCTCCAGGAATTGGCATATTGTGCAACTGCTTGGTAAAAATGTGGGACTGTTAGTAAGATGACACAGCTGGCATGACAAGAAGACACAATGTCCATATAAACCTTTGGAAATGATGTTTTCAGTCTTCAGCTTTAAGTATAAGCCAAATCTTTGCAATTCATTTCACATGAAATTCCCAAAGGAAATACACAAGCACAGAGAAATTTGAACATCTGAACATCCTATTCTTGTTTCTTTGCAAAATTAAGCCGTAACCCTGACTTGGGGGGGACAGAGGATAGAGATGAGCAAGAGGCAAAATTCAAAATCAATGAACATGTTATGAAAAGAAATAGGAAATGACTGCCTGTTGAGGGTGGCAATATGTTTATGACTACAAGACTGAAACTGCCTCTGCTAATTTTATTTATTTTTAATTTTTAATTATTATTTATTTTGAATGTTCATTTAATTTATAGATGTGCAGACAGCATCCATTGTGCTGATCATTTAAATCAGTGGTTCCCAACCTTTTCCAAATCACAGACCTTTTTGGGGAGGTTCTGTGCGTGGGTGGGCAGGGCACGCTCACGCACATGTGCAAGTGGGCGGGCTGTGTGGGACGTGCATGGGGAGCCCGAGGAGATCTGTCTCCACGGCCTGGTACCGGGCTGCGGACCAGGGGTTGGGGAGCCCGATTTAATCTGTAAGTAGAGGAAGTGAACATAATGTTTCAGAGATGAGGTGTTATAGCATTAGATGAAGTAGCTGTGTTTGTCTGTGGTAGCATATCAGGCAAAAAACAAAAAACAAAACTTAGATGAAGTAGCCGTGTTTGTCTGTGCTAGCATATCAGGCAAAAAACAAAAAACAAAACAAAGTCAAACACTGTGGCACCTGAAATATTAATTGCTATATTTTAATGTGAACTTTTGTGGGCAAGTCCACTTCTTCAGACAACAGATTATAGCATGTTTCAGGGATAAGATGTTAATGCTGATCCAGCATCATCACCTTCCACTATCCCAGGTACCAAGCAAAGCTAATTCTAGTATTGCATTTAACTTTATCCTAATGCACAGCACAATTTGCACTGAATTTGCACTCTTAGTATATCCAAAGAGGCCCTCAGTCACAACAAGGTTCTTCTGGTGCTGTTATTTACCGTTTGTTTCCTTGCAGCTCTTTCATGGAATTCAAAAAAATGCTTTTTAGAGAAACCCTTCCATGCTGAGAATAGGTGATATGTATTTAAAAAAACAAAACAAAACAAAAACAAATGAAAGAAAATTCCTGGTTTTACTAATGGTTTTGTACCAACTTTCACCCATTATGAAGGAAAATTCCTGGTTTTATTAATGGTTTTGTACCAACTTTCACCCATTAATTTATAAAAACAGAAGTTGCAATAGAGGAACAGTGAAAAAGAAAAAATACTTAAAAAGTTGTATCTCAAAAGAACTGCCATGAAAAAAAAATCCTAGAAAAAGCTCTAAGGCACTCCTGCCAAAATATTTCTAGATTTCATTCAGAGTAACAAAATGTTAAATATTATACTTCTTAATCCACTAATAGTCATTGTTAAGACATTTTAATGAGTCCTTCGAATAGTATTCTAGAGCAGCTTTTGACATGATGGTGCTACTCTGCGCAAGTTGGACGATGTCTCCTAACCTTAGGATCTGCAGTCCATACTATACAGAAGCTACCAATTTGATGCAAAAGCCTGCACCATCTATGGGCACTGTTGGGTGCTAAGTGCAAATTTCTCTTTGAAGTCCCTGGATCTCTAAGGATGCATTATGCAACTAACTCCTTGCTAAAATACAACATGCTATTAACCACATCACTCATCACTAAAAATTCACCCAAAGAACAAGTACTTGCTGTGCAGATCTTTCAGCCTCCTACACACGCTCCCTTCTCCATTTAAACCACCATAGCAACAGCATATGATTATGAGCACAACCATCTACATTCTTGTACTCTCGTGACATACAAATGCTTCCACCATTTCGGAAGCCAACCTCGACATACAGCACATTGATTTATTTGCTTTCTGCGTTGCCTTTCCAGCAAAAAGAGAGAGGAATGGATGGTGGTAACACTTGCCTTTCCAGCAAAAAAAAGAGAGAGGAATGGATGGTGGTAACAAGAATAAAATACAGGTTAAAAACAAAAGAAAATAAAAGCAAATCAATCCAAAACACAAAAATAAAAGGCACAGCAAGCATCCAAGTAGTGACACCCTTTCAGTAGCAGCCCAAATGTTGCACTTTCTGTTTCCTCCTTCAATTTGGCCTCCCCGTGAATTCTGGGAGAAGTTTGAAAACTTGTGCACTCTTTTGTGCATTCCATTTGGTGTTGACAAAGGCATTTTCCCATACTAACTTTTGGCTCCTAGTTTGAGAAACTGAATACATTAATCACACTAATTACATGCCGTCAAAACATAGAATACTCAGAAGTAGGTTGCCATTTCCTTTTTCTGTGGCTACTCTGGGACTGTGCAGTTTTTGTCCAAGGCCAGAGGATTGGAAACGATTGGTCTACATCTCAATCATAAAGAAGGGCAGTGCCAAAAAATGCTCCAACTACCGTACAATTGCATTCATTTCCCACACTAGCAAGGTTATGCTCAAAATCCTACAAGGTAGGCTTCAGCAGTATGTGGACTGAAAACTCCCAGAAGTACAAGCTCCAGAGGAGCTAGAGACCAAATTGCTAACATGTGCTGGATTATAGAGAAAGCCAGAGGGTTCCAGAAAAAAGGCAGGTTACTTACCTGTAACGATAGTTCTTCAAGTGGATCTCTGTGAATTCACACTTACCCGCCCTGCCTCCCCTCTATCCGTCACTCTCCACTACTGCTCTGCAGAGTACATGGTGGCAGATAAAATAGAACTGACGTGGGCGGGCGGGACTTCCGCTATAGGGGTAACACCTACGTCATTTCCTTTTTCCAAAAAGCACTGGAACACTCCGAGGACTCCTGCGCAGGCACAGTTTACCCACCAGTGTGATTCACAGAGACCAAGTTGAAGAACATCTACTTCTGCTTCATTGATTACGCAAAAGCCTTTGACTGTGTGGACCACAACAAACTATGGCAAGTTCTTAAAGAAATGGGAGTGCCTGATCATCTTATCTATCTCCTGAGAAATCTATACAGTATGTGGGACAAGAAGCGACAGTTAGAACTAGATGTGGAACAACTGATTGGCTCAAAATTGAGAAAGAAGCATGACAATTAAGATTGCTGGAAGAAATATCAAGAGCCTCAGATATGCAGATGATACCACTCTGATGGCAGAAAGTGAGGAAGAATTAAAGAACCTCTTAATGAGGGTGAAAGAGGAGAGCACAAAAAATGGTCTGAAACTCAACATCAAAAAAAACTAAGATCATGGCCATTGGTCCCATCACCTCCTGGCAAATAGAAGGGGAAGATATGGAGGCAGTGATAAAATTTACTTTCTTGTGCTCCATGATGACTGCACATGGTTACAGCAGTCACGAAATTAAAAGATGCCTGCTTCTTCGGAGGAAACCTTGACAGCATCTTAAAGAGCAGAGACATCACCTTGCTGACAAATGTCTGCAAAGTCAAAGCTATGGTTTTTCCAGTAGTGATGTATGGAAGTGAGAGCTGGACCATAAAGAAGGCTGACCTCCAAAGAACTGATGCTTTTGAATTGTGGTGCTGGAGGAGACTCCTGAGAGTCCCCTGGACTGTAAGGAGAACAAACCTATCTGTTCTGAAGGAAATCAAGCCTGAGTGCTTACTGGAAGGACAGATGCCGAAGCTGAGGCTCCAATACTTTGGCCATCTCATGAGAAGAGAAGACTCCCTGAAAAAGACCGTGATGTTGGGAAAGTGTGAGGGCAAGAGGAGAAATGGACGACAGAGGATGAGATGGTTGGACAGTGTCATCGAAGCAACCAACATGATTTTGACCCAACTCCGGGAGGCAGTGGAAGACAGGAGGGCCTGGCGTGCTCTGGTCCATGGGGTCACGAAGAGTTGGACACGACTTAATGAGTAAACAAACAAACAAACAAAAAACACAGACTAGTTCTTCTCTCAAACGGCATAGTGGGGAATCAAACTCCCAGCCTCTGGTTCCACCAATAGATACCTAACCCCGCTGATTTCATCAGACAGCTATATTCATTAATATATATTTGTTTAAATCCAGCCAGAACAGATCCAGTGAATCAATGAGACTATCAGCATCAGCATCATGTGCTCTCAAGTCAGTTCTGACTTATGATGACTCTTTTCAGGTTTTTCCAGGTGAAGAATATGAGTCAGAAGTGATTTATTGTTCTCTTCTTCTGGGGGGCACCCTAGGACTGTATGGCTTGCCTGAGGCCACACAAGCTGGTTCTACTTGCAGGAGGCACAGAGGGGAACTGAACTCCCAACCTCTGGCACCACAAGGAGATACCTAAGCCATTGAGCTATCCAGTCAGCTCGGACTATGACAGGTCAAAATTTATTAAGTCCTACTAATTCAGTGTATCCACTTCATTTCTAGCACACTAATGCTTTTAGCCCTCAGAATCCAAACATTTCAGAAAGTTCTGTCAATTGAAATGTTTCATAATGAGGGGAGGGGGAAGAAACATATGAATGGATGGGGAAACTACTTGTGCTTCAGATTGTGCTTCAGATTGAACAAGCTGTAAAAGAAACAGCAAAATAGGCTTTGACAATGGATGGGGAAACTATTTGTGCTTCAGATTGTACAAACTGTAAAAGAAACAGCAAAATAGGCTTTGATTTTAGAAACTTACATAAATCTAAATCCATACCAGGGCCACTCCAAGACATTTTACTGTCTAAGTCAAAAGACAGGTTGGCACTCTCCCCTTGATTTTAAGTACAGACATTGCCAGAAGAATTGAATCTGACTTTATCACAGTTAACAGCATAGAGTCCTTCTCAGATGGCAGTAGGTTAATTAATGAGATACTGAAGGAAGGACTGGAGCACTGATACCACTTTTTCCGGCATCTGCCATTTGAAGTGGCCACGTTTCTCTGCCTACTGGTAGGGCCGGTTCTGCCATAATTCAGTATAAAACTACACAGGCTGTGAGGCATTAGCATTTATTTCCCTTGGCTTGACTACCAATTTAGAAGAGCCAATGTAGCAAAGAATAATGAAGCATGCAGGAAAAAGAGAGAGAGAGAGAATAATGAAAGGGAGGCTTGCGTGCAAGGGTTACTTACAAAAGACAGTTCAGAAGCACAGATTCTTAAATTGCACAGTACAAAGCAGAAGAAGAAAACGTGCAAAAGAAACAAGACAGGAGATCCAAAAAGAAACAAATAATTCCTAAGTACTGCTTTCGATATTTCAAATTTAAAAAGTGAAAAGGAAATAGAAAATTAGGTAGCTAAAAGTACAGGTAAGAGGAAAGTAAAATGATAATCAAAAGGTTTCCTGTTCACTCTTTTCAAATACAAACAGCATCACTGATTCATTCTAATATTCACAGCTTCACTGGAAACCCCCCTTCTCAAAAGCAACCAATAATAATATTATAATAATCTCAGAACTGCAGATCAGGAAGGGACCCTGCGGATCATCAAGTCCAACCCCCGTCAAGGAGGCACAGTGAGGAATCAAACTCCCAACCTCTGGATCCACAGCCAGATACCTAAACCACTGAGCTATCGCAAATGCAATACACTGATACTACAGGGCAAGCGTCTGAAGGCCTATGCAAATGGCAATGTTTCACTGCGTCCTACTACCAGCTAAGTTTTGTCTTGCCTAAATGCAATGAGATTGTTCTGTCCTGGCCTTTGGCAGATTCAAGCAGAACAGTCCTATGTAGAGTTGGCATAAATGGGGAAAAGGTGGTTTGTGATGCTTTGTGGTTCATCGCTATTCACAAACAATGAACCATGAACTTTCATTTGAAACAAATTGCTTCATGGTTTGGGCAATTCAGGATTCTGGAAGCAGTAGAGCAGCTAGTTAAAGAGCACTTTTCTGGGGGACATGCTTTGGGTGGCTATGACTTGGCCATCCCAAAACCAATCTCCTCCAAACTTAGAGGGGTGGGGAAGAGCGTCAGCCCAAGAGTTAGTCCAAGTTTGGCAACGTCTGAATTTGGGATGTCCAAGTTATAGCCCATGTATAAATCACCAATGCCAATAGTAGTTCAGAAATTTATTGCATTCTGGGCAGGGATGTTGCCCCAAAAACAATTCACCGCACAACGACTCCTTGTCAATACCACTCCTGGCTAGGCTGGTAATACCCAAGGTTTGTGGTTTGTGTCTTGCCCATTTCTAGTCCTAGGGCAAATGGGTCCTGTTCAATCAGAAACAATGCACCGCACAACGACTCCTTGTCGGTATCACTCCTGGCTAGGCTGGTAATACCCAAGGCAAATGCAATACAATTTTTTGTACCCTGTGTATGCTTCTTTATGTGTAATCAGTGTGGAGATCAAGCAAAACATGGAACAGTTCTGGCCAGGCAGGCACACACTGTACATGTAGTATACTGTAAAGCTAACAGCATGAAAATATAGACGTATATGAGACACACAGAAATTAGGAAGCTCAGCATTCAGGTGTGCTTATCTAAAGGTGCAGAAGGGCTTTCTAAGCTCACCATAACCCTACATAGGTGCTCACTGCATGAAAGAAGGAAGTGGATACAAGATGCTGCAAGGTGGCAGGCCTACCTCTACCCTGATGTTGCACAGTCCCTTCTGGATCAGGGGGTTGACCTTGTGCAGCAAGAAGCCCTTGCTATAAACTGCGCAGGAAATAAGACTCCCTGCAATAGAACACCGTCAAAGACTGGAAATGTTCTTCCTTTGGACTACAAGTCCTGATCCCCTAGGTTGGCACGGTCAAATAGGGACTTCTATCAACCAGCCTCTGACATCATACTTCCTATGGGTGCTATGTTCCTTGATCCAAACAAAGAGACCTGTATGTCAAACCTGTATGTCAAGGGCACCCTCTAGGCCAGCGATGGCGAACCTATGGCACATGTGCCACAGCTGGCACATGGGGCCTTTCCTGCTGGCACACAAGCCATAGGTCGCCAGATCGCTACTTCACCCCGTGCAGCCAAACCTGAGAAGGCAACTGCAGCCGTGGTGCTGGCACTTTGGCAGACAGATCCAGAGCAGCTGGTGCTGCCAGCGGATCGAGAGCGGGGTCTTGTGCCAGGATTCCTCCTTCTGCCGCCACTTCCGGTTCTGCCACCACCACCTCCGGTTCCGCCGTCACCAGTTTGGGCACACGAATCCAAAAAGGTTCGCCACCACTGCTCTAGGCTGTAAGGCACAGGTAAAGGTTCCCTTTGACAATTTGTCCAGTCGTGTCTGACTCTAGGGCGCAGTGCTCATCCCCGTCTCCAAGCCATAGAGCCAGCGTTCGTCCACAGACAGTTTCCATGGTCATGTGGCCAGTGCAACTAGACATGAATGCCGTTACCTTCCCATTATGGTGGTACCTTTTTATCTACTTGGATTTGCATGCTTTCGAACCGCTAGGTTGGCAGGAGCTGGGACAAGCAACGGGGGCTCACTCCGTCGCGTGGATTCAACCTTAAGACTGCAGGTCTTCTGACCTTGCAGCACAAAGGCTAAACATTGTTTCCCATAACTGTCAGCTGACCTGGGAAACCAATCTGGTGCTTCATCTTTACTGTCATTTGATCTTTTAATCTGCTTTTTTATCCAAAGCAGTACATGGATTGTAGTCTATTTAGACCCTACTTCCTGCCTCTGGTCCATTTCACCAAAGTCCACAATCTCTCAGTGGCAGCCAAGGATAATTTACAGACCATAAACATACAGAGGTTCAAAGCTGCCAATATCTGTTTAAACCATGACACCTGCTTTATAGAAAATTACGTCGTCACTGGAGTAGTAGAAAACAAACCAGAACCGTACTTAAGTCCTCTTCCTAGCTCTGTTAAATGAAAACGAGGGGAAGAGTCAGGACTTTGTGAGTCTGAGGTCTATCCAAACACAGCACAAAATCTCGGTCTATCGTCATTTGTGTGAACGCAGTCCTTATTGAACCCTCAACTGCCCAAAGTGTCAACTCTAGCTGCAGTATTGTGGGGAGAGATGGTACACCTGCAAGATATTTCTAAGATGCCAGGCCTTAAAAGTAAACATGCAGCGTGCAAATTGCTAGCACTATTGTAGACTATGTGATGTAGGGTTTAGTGGTCCCACAAACTAGACAAAGTCTTAACATTGACGTTCTTTTCCCTTGAGTTCATTTCTTAATTACAGCCTACTTGTTTTTACAACTAAGAGGGCAAATCAAAACCACTTCAGTTTGGTCAAATATAGCTGTGCAAGTACAACTTTTCTTTCCTATTGCTAAATTTGCTCGCCCATGCAAAGAAAACAAAACAGTTTCAGGCAATAATTTGGGGAAAGGCAAGTTTGAAAAATCTCTGGAATCCAAAAGCGTCCGATTCCTTTCTGCCTTCCTACCCTGACTGTTTTAAGCACCAAGCAAAAACCTACATTTGATCTGATAAATCCTCTTTGCTCCATCTGTTTGGCAAGCTGAGATTTCCCCCGATTTAAAACATACTTCCCAAAGAGTTTGTTAATGGAAACATCCCCAGGACCCCAAGCAGCCACTTGAAATAGAGACTTGGCAAGCAATTAGGGTCCCTGGCTGCCAGAAAAGCACTGATGTACGATGCAGCAAGGCACAAGCTTTCATTATCATTCCAGAATAGGTTTGGATAACAAATATTCAACATGATGTTTGCCTTAAGACTTTCCAGGTGGGATCAGTCCAGATTTCCAAACATCTTTCTTCACTGAGACAGAAAAAGAACAGTATAGTTGTTGAGTTGGGCTTGTTTGATACCACCTGTCAACCTCACCGTAATCCTTATATTCCCTTGAGAAGTATCTCACTACAACACTGTTTTTCCCATCTGATAAGCATATATAGATCATGACTTCCCCTGTAATTTTATTTGTAAACGTAAGGCAGAAAATTAATTTTTTTACATTACACCATTACTCAGAAACAGAGTTAACAGTGCACAGCATCAGAAGACGCTTGTTCTCTGTTTTCCAAACAATTTTAAAAAAATTATTTATTTTTTTACCCCAAAATATAACTGCCTCACTTGAATTCCTAATATGGCCCCAGATGGGGCATATCCCAATGGTAGGAAATCACTGCCTGAAATCCTACTGCTTGCAACTAGAGTAGGTCTATTTGACCAATGCAACTTATGGAAAAGTTGACTCACCATATCTCCACTGAGTCAATGCTTCTATCCTAGTTAGTGCAACTTGCTTACTTACTTACCCTAGTGCAACAGGACTTCAGCCACTGTCCTAGAATCATCAGTCTCCCATACAGACTCCCATACAGCCACTGTCCTAGAATCATCAGTCTCCCATACAGTGTTGGAGTTCCTTGGAAACCTAACAAGAGTGTGTTGCCATGGCTGGACTTGCCATCAGCAGCTTGATCTTCTTCTTGCAACAGAACTGTCTTGTCTCCTCCCAAACCTAACAGACCAAAGAAGGAACAGAGCCAGCTCATGGAAGCATATATTTAGGAGAATTAAACAGGGAAGGCAACTGACTATTACCACAGGGAATGAGGAAGAAATTAACTGGAAGGAAAGGAGGACAAATGTGAGGACCTACTGACAGTCACTCAGAACAGTCTGAGAAGGAGAGAAAAGGCTACAGGGACAAATGAAGTGAGCAGGGAAGGGAGGGTGACCTGTGAACAGAAAGCCAGAATAGGCCATAGGCCAGTCAAAAGAAGAATCTTTCCTATGTCCTAGCTATCCTGAGTTTTGAAGCTACCATCAAGAAACTCATCAAGAGGTGAGTGGTGAGGGGAAGAATGAGAGAAGAATGGAAGAAGGGGGGGGGAAGGCATTCAAAAGGGAGAGTAGAGGAAAGAGAACTTAAGCCAGAGTGCTCAATGGTTGCCCTCGAAGTGTTGCTGAACTGCAAACTGCAACTTCCATCAGCACAGCCTAGTCAGAACATACACAACATTCTGTAAGAAGCACATAAAGACTGCCTGTCCTTTCATGAGAAATGAATTTATGTGATGCAGCTACTACGGAGAAGAGTGAAAGTGAGGGGGTTCTAGCAAGAAGCTCAAAGTGGCTCCTGCAAGCTTGGAGTATGCTCCTTCCTGACATACCATATAATGATGTCTTAGGACACTGATTGTTTAAAAGATGGCTTGAACTGGCCGCATACTGCCCTAAACTGTCTTGAATATGTTGGCTTGAACTGACCACATACTGCCCTAAACTGTCTTGAATATGTTAAGCCTGCGGAAAAGTAGTACTGTCATGAGCAGGGTGAGACTTCAGTAATCGAAGACCTTCCCTTTTCTCTTAAGTAATCTATGTTGCTGCACAGATGAGACTTGAGTAATTGAAGACCTTCCCTTTTCTCCCATTACTCTTAAGTAATCTATGTTGCTGCACAGAAGTCATAATTTTTTTTCTATACTGTACAGATAAATGTTATGTATGGAAGGGGAAGAAATCCTATTTTTTTTAAAAAAAAGCACTCTGTCTCATAACTATCCAAAAGCAGTGGGAAAAATATGAGAAATCTATTGCAACATTTCCAGAAATTAAGCTTTAATTACCCAATTTGTATGCGTATCATCTTTTAATGATTATACATTTCTAAGAGATTAAAAATATCCCTCTACTCTGGGATAAAGGTTTGCTTTCTCACTACAAAATATTCTCTGGACAAGCCATTTCCTTTTTTGAAAGATCATTGAAAAATTAATCTGCATGTGATGTCGAGCAGCAGTTACATCATGTGTCGACAAATTACTTAGCGAAAGCAAAGCTGGATCACAAGAAAGAAGGGACAGCAGGCAAGGCCAGATCGTTTTCCAAAATAACACACTAAGGTACTTTACAGCTCTGTTATCTGAAGAGGTAAAAAACAAAAAAGCCACACTTGGGACTTAGAAACCTATTTTATAGTCCAATATAGTGAACTAAAGCCACAGTGGATTTAATTTTAATCAGTCTGATTTAAATCATGATCACGATTTAAATATTCACTCAGAAAGACTATTTTATTGTGTGGTTTCTCCCTCCCAAAAGCACTCTCTTGCTTAATATAATTTTAATACAACACAATAATCCTCTGTTCTCTTACACTTCCATTGTCTGAAAGCATGCAATTCCAGAGCGAGTTTAAAAGTCACAGAGGGACAATAGCAAAGGTTTCCACTCTAAAGGAATAAGCATCATTTCCGGAAAACTACTGAAAGGAATCCTAGAGATTTAAGTAGGGCTTTCGAAAACTTTCAGGTTTACCATGTTGGCAGGGGAGGGGGCGCTCATGCCTTGAGGGCAGCAGGGAGGAGAGACGGCGGTACTTATGGCAGATGCCAAAACGGCCAGCTGTGGCTCTGAATACAGGCAGCGGTGGCAACAGCAAAGAGCTGGTAGCAGCCCCAAATATGTGCAGCTCTCTTGCATGCATGTTACACTGTCCAACCATTCCACCGGAAGAGAAAGCTGCATGCCTCCCTCCTCTGCGCTTTATGCCAGAGCTGTCTGTTCGTTAAGATCACCTCTAATGGTGTTGGTGGGCAGGTGCAGCCTTCATGTGCATAGAGGCAGTGAGCTGCTGAGGCTGCCCAAAACCATCCCCTCCCACATTTTTTAAATCCTGACCTGTGTCCCCCCTAACTTTGGAGTATCTTCATCTCTGCTACAATGGGACATGCCCTGTACCCAGTACGGTAACACTGCTCTTATGATTTGAACACTTTGCCTATTATGGACATTACCACCACAGTGACTGCTATATTTTACAGGTAAAAGAGGAACACAGAGAAAGGGGGGGGCTGAATGGACATACAACCAGGAACATTCCCCAGCAATTTAGCCATGTGTCCCCTCAGCACACAAGCCTGAGGAAATTTGTTGTGATTCAGAGTCAGAAGTCATCTTTGAGCCTTCATGTGCATGCAGGCAGTCAGCCGCTGAGGCTGCCCAAAACCATCCCCTTCCACATTTTTAAAATCCTTACCCGTGTCCCCCTAACTTTGGAATATCTTCATCTCTGCTACAATGGGACGTGCCCTGTACCCAGTACGGGAACACTGCCCTTATGATTTGAACACTTTGCCTATTATGGACATTACCACCACAGTGACTGCTATATTTTACAGGTAAAAGAGGAACACAGAGAAAGGGGGGCTGAATGGACATACAACCAGGAACATTCCCCAGCAATTTAGCCATGTGTCCCCTCAGCACACAAGCCTGAGGAAATTTGTTGTGATTCAGAGTCAGAAGTCATCTTTTCTGCCTGAGGCAGCTGTTCCTCTTTGGGCCACCATAAGGGTGGTGGTGGTGGTGGTGGTGAGGAGATATAAAACAGGTAAAACAAAGAACATTATTTTGGATGATGCCAAGAAAAAGCACCCTTCAGACTTACATACAACGGAATTTGCATGTGAATCAGTCCAAAATTGTGCCATTCATTACTCACTGACTAAGTAAAATCTAGTATGAAACCAATCCCTTTTTTTCACTTATTGAAACTCACCTTGTTTTCTTACACATACCCCTAACATTTCTAGGCCTTTATATTATTTCTGATGTCCTTCCTATTTATGCTTTTTTAGTCAACACCATTTGAAATTTTTAATTAAACTACTGCACAGCCTCCTTCCAGATAATTAATAGAGACATAAAATTAAAGGTCTAGTACAGAAAGCATCTTTCAGCATAACTGCAATAAAACTTCTCTAGCATAACCTACAGTCATTTATAAGAGTTATCATTCATCCCTCCATCCAGTTTTCAATGTCACGCAAGCCCCCTGCTTCCCTCCCAATCATTCTGAATTATTCTCCAAATGAATACTTCCACCTAGGCACCATGCTGCATGATGAACAACAATGACAGAAAAAACCAAAGGACATTTGTCTTCCACCAAAGGAACATGCTAACAATTTGTTGTGAACTCATGTCTTGGCTCACACTACAGTGGGGTCTTGACTTGAGAACTTAATCCGTATTGGAAGGCGGTTCTCAAGTCAAAAAGTCTGTAAGTCAAGTCTCCATTGACCTACAGTGCATTGAAAACCGATTAATCCCGTAACAGGCCGTTTTTGTTCCATTTTGGTTCCATTTTGGTTTTTTTCTGGTCTGTAAGTCAAATCTCAGTCTGCAAGTCAAACCTAAATTTTGCGGCCAGAGAAGTCTGTATCTTCCACCAAAGGAACACGCTAACAATTTGTTGTGACCTCATGTCTTGGCTCACACTATAATTAAGAAAAATGTAACTGTTTCTTTTCCAACACAGAAAATAGACTATTCCGCAAACAGTTTTTAAAATAATGTAACAGCTTCCAGAGCTACTGAAATTTAGAGTCAATTGTTAAACAAGCCCACAAATATCAATGGAAGCTGAAATATTTTAGCAGCAGCATCTAAGTGGGGTATGTGTCTATGAAAGCTGCAATAAATCTCTTAGACTTAAAGGTGCCACATGATCCTTTTTTAATTTTCCAGAGATGGTGTCCTTCCAATGGAAAATTAAAGGAACAACTATAGTCTCTTCCAAAGTCTGAAAGATATTCATCTTCGACCAGAGTTGCACCACTATTTAAGTGCAACTTTAAAAACCGCTGTATCATGGATTCGCATTAGGAAGCACACATCTATTAAAACTCATCTAAACCAGATGTAGCCAAGCAAGGGCCACCCAGATGTTCTGGAATAAAAATCCTATTATCCCCAACCAGCATTACTAAAAGTAAGAGGCTATGGCAGTTGTAGCCCAAAGCATTTGGAGAGCTCCAGTCAGTAGAAACCTAACTAGTCAACCTACAGAAGTTTACCAGGTGGATACAGAAGAGACAACTATGCCTCTTCTTTGTCTCATCAACCAGCATCACAGGTAGGATGCCTAGAAAGAGGGGACACCAACATACTAAGCCAAAATTGTTTTGGAGAAATATAAATATATACAACAAAAGGTTCCATGATTTAACAATTTCAAATCTGGGGAGGCTACAGTGCAAACACACAGTGTTCAGCTAGTCTGGCTTCTCCCTCATAATATGGCCTGACACTAGCAGTCATTCACATAATTCCACCCATGTTTGAACAGACTTAAGCTCTTCAGCTGTAGATGTCAGAAGACAGATCCATTCCTGCAAAGACAACTTCTGCAAAATGAGGTCATTCTTCTATTGGAAGACTCCCAGAGGCAAGTCGAAAAGCGCTTTATTTGCTATGCAAAGTGAAAGGGCACAATGAATAGAGAAAAGAATTCCCTTGGGGTGTATTTGAATTCAGCCACACTTATCTGGCAAAGAAACAAAAAACTAAACAACAACAGAACTTACACACAACTTTAAGCAATTTGCATGCCTCCAAGTTAACACTCTCTACACTCTCTTAAATTATTACCAGCAACAGTTCTGGATTTGTTGTCCCAGCCCAGATGCCTAGAAATTATCTAGAGGAAAGTGATAAAATAAGCAGTGATTTTCAATGGCACATGACAAGCCCTCTCTGAAGTCCCACAAAGTGGAATTCTGACTCTGGCATAAACAAATAAGCAGAGCTAACATCTACTTTTTCAATGTTTACATACAAGGGACATTTCAAATACACATTTGCAAAACCTCTAAGCTAGCAATTCATCAATAAGAAAAAGGTTCTTTATGCAAAGTGTTGCTAGCTCTGTTTTGTTCTGCTTTGTTAAGACATTAAAGAGCAATACATCTGCTCATGTAGCTGTATCTCTTCATATATTATTTAAGCCTTTAAAGAATTCAGTAATGAAAGAATGCCATGGACAAGATTTTAAACTCACATTGAAGCATCTGCAATAGTGAACTGGAAAGTTCAGTGCTTCTCCCGTTTTTAATAGAGAAGACAGATCAATATGAACACAAAGGAAGAAAAAATGTTTGGGGTAGGACTCTATTGATCATAACTGACACTGGGTCCGCCCTTAGAGCAGAAGCTAGAATTGCAAGATCACTAATGATGTAACTCCTTAAACAAAAAAGAAAGAGTGAGCCAACTTCCAGGATAACAAATGTAATACTGTTGAAAGACAGGAATGGGGAAAGTTATTATTATTTTTTAAATAACAACAACCATAATGTGCCATCAATTACAACTTATGCTTGACCCTTTCCAGGGTTTTCTCAGTAGAGAATATCTAGAAATGTTTACCATTCTCTTTTCCTGGAGGAGCCCTGGGACTTTGCAGCTTGCCCCCCGCAATACAAGCTGGCTTTTCTCCCAGGAGGCACGATGGGGAACTGAACTCCCAACTTTGGACTCTGCAACCAGATGGATAAACCACTGGGCTATCCAGTCAGCCTATGCCTTCCAAAATGCTACACCCATTGGCCATATCATATGCAGGGTTCCATGATATCTATTCTGAGAAGGTAATTTTTTTCCCCCATCTTTATCTTCTTGCCTACTTTTTCCTCTTTTTTGGGGGGGAGGGACTTATTTCATGCATTATGCAAGCAAAGCACAAAGCAGTTACAGCACTTTAAAGACTTCCTGAAATGTGCAGTCAAACAGCAGCAGGGCAACGACAAGTGTCTTTAAATAATTTGTCAATACCTTTTGTTAACAGCTGCTGAATGAACCATTCTTTGATCTTTAGGTTTGAAGGTTTACATTTGGAATATTCTGTGACATCAAAATAACTCAAATAAACCTTAGGCTTCTCTTGCAACCCACTTCCTTCATCTCCTTTCCTCAGTTTCCTGCTTCATCCATTGTTTCATCTGCTACTCGCCCTCTCACCTCATTATTCCCTTTCCATTCCTAACATCTAAGGATACTTCCAACCGTCTGCTTGATCCAATGTGACGATTGCCCCACTTTACGCATGCCATTCATAGTCATGAGCTGATTTGCATGAGCCTATGAGAGGGCTGGAGAGGCGGAGTCAGGAGCTATATGAAGGTTTGGCAGGAGAAGGTGGAGTCAGATAGAGATAGAGATGAGATCTAGATAGAGATCGGGATGAGATCTAGATAGAGTTAGGGCTGGTTAGTTAGAGAGAGAAGGAACAGATATGAGTGGTAAGGCTGGTTAAGAAAATAGGTAGAGAAGGTGGTAATGATATTGCAAGAGAAAAGTATGTACTGAGGGAATTGTTAATGGTTTGCTTGTGTACAATGTTTATCTGAAGAACTTCTCTTATTATTAAATCTGCTTCACTTCAATAAATAAACTCAGTTTGTATTCACAAGATAAGTGTTCTGACAAACGTCATTTATACAGTGGTGCCCCGCAAGACGATGTTAATTCGTTCCATTGAAATCGCTGTCTTGCGACAACATCATCTTGTGAAAAGCGTTTCCCCATTGGAATGCAATGAAATCTGTTTAAGGCATTCCAATGGGGAAAAATTGTCGTTGTCTGGCGAAAATCGCCCATAAGGAAGCCATTTTGTGAAGCGCCGATCAGCTGTAAAAATCGTCGTCTTGTGAAAAACGGTCT